AATTTCACTCTGCCTGGAATAATAATTCCGTATGCGATTTCTCACCTTGAAAAAAATTTGCACCATCGATAACTTTTAAATCAAAATCTTTTTTTTTTAATTAAAATGCTTTAAAAATTGTTCTTTGTAGGACATCATGGAGTTGGAGTTAAACACTTTCTGAGAGATATTAGCGGCTATGACAGACCATTCTGGTGTTTTCTAGAACGACAATATCACAAATGTATTCCAGTAGGAGTTGTTTGTCTGAAATTGTACTGGACACCTGTAGGCGTGTGAAGTCAGAGTCCCAAATTATCTACCTGTCTCTGGTTTATTTCTTAGCAAATGCAGAGACCCATATCAGGGAGCCCTCTCTTTAGCGCTGGGGGGAAATGGATAGGCCCTTCTGTATGCTTCTATAATAAAGACTTCTATCACAAAGAATAAACAACTAAATGAGCGGCAATAAACTTAATTTGCACATTAGATATGCTTTTCCGAGTTCCGACATTTCAGTTGAAAATAATACTGAAGCAATGAGGCCTATAATTGAACATCCAAAACTTCTCCAGTGGGGAAACCAAAACAAATGTTGCCTGCAAACAAGATCATTTTTATAGCCTGCTGCTACTCTGCTTTTTAATAATTTTCCAAATGCCAGATCGAATAATCCTCCCTTTGATGTGATTTTCATATACCTCCGAGTGCACGGGTACTATGTCATGGGGATCTAAGTCTTCCAAAAGAAAAGCCCCTGAAACTCTCTTTCCATCGGAGTCCATGACTGTGCCTGTGGGACACGTCCTCAAATTACACTGGGCATCTTGCAAGGAGCTGGCAAGGCAGCGACTAATTGTGCTCAAGATGTTTGAAAGGAAAATTGCCTCTTCCCGCTGCATTAGTGAAATAGAAATTTTCTGACATACAGGGCGGGGACCCGCTTCAGAATCCTCTTAACACAGATAAGCCATATCAGCTAAAAACTAAGCCGGAAAATATCTTTCTCTTGTAACCATTATCTTTTTACATGTTATCTAACAACAGCATTTCTTGCATGACTGAGGCTGATAAGTAAATCCCAAAGAGAAGAGGATCCTTTTATCAGCTGTACTGAAATTTCTCATTTGCTCCTTAACACCCTGTTCTCTTTAAGGTCACTCTATGCCAATGGTGGATCCAGAAAACAAATTATATTTGACTCTGTAATGATAATCTGATGAGCATCTTAGATGAGAAAACACACCAACACACACACACACACACACACACACACACACACACAAATAGTAAGCCACCTTAAAAACCAGTTGGTTATGCACTTCATACTTTTAAAAAATGGTTAAATCCATGCACAACATTTTAATTCCTTCCAAGACAAAAGCTTCAGATTTGTAGGTTAGAAAGCAATAATTCTTTGGCACTGATATGTGCCACATTCCTGCATGAAAGGGCACGAGAGACAGCAGTCTAATTAAGAGATTGTGCATAATGATGTTCACACAGGTTATATTCACAGACCAACATTAAAGCAAAGTTTCTAAACGTGTTTTTGTTTGTTTGTTTTTGTTTTTAGTAGCAGGGATTGAACCCAGGGGCATTTAACCACTGAGCCATATCCCCAGCTCTTTTTATATTATATTTAGAGACAGGGTCTTACTGAGCTGCTTAGACCTTGCTAAGTTGCTGAGGCTGGCCTTGAACTCACCATCCTCCTGCCTCAGATTCCCGAGCCCCTGGGATTACAGGCCTGCACAATCACGTCTAGCTCTAAACATGTTTTTATTCATATTGTCTATACATTTTGTGCTCATGAAGTTATTCTATTTATTTATCTAACTGTATGATTAACTATATATGCTTATATTGTGTAGGGTGCTTCTTGTCAATGACAAAGAAATAGAACCCCCAAATTCCTTAAAATGACATGTGGATATCTCATGAAGGTTAAACTATAACCACATATCTGCGATTAGATATAAGGAGTGAAAATAACCTTGATAATCATATGTACTGACATTGTATTAAATGGGCCTCTTCTTTGTATATGCACATCCCCCTCTGACACTGTGTTACTGGTAGAACATCAGTGCGTTCTCTGCGCTGAGTCTTTAGGGTTTTAAGGTAACTTCAAATTTCCGGCAGAGCTGGGAACTCAAGGTGTATTAGAAATGTACAATTACAAACCTTAAAATTGGAAAATCAAAACCATTTAAAACACACAATTTTTCTGAGATGACCTCTTTTTTTCCCCCTTTCTTTTTTTTTTTTTTTTTTGCAAAATGTTTCAAGAAGTTTAAGTCCTGAAAAATTGAAAACTGTCAAATTTTAGACAAAGATGTCAGCATTGAAATTATGCCTTTGAACCAAGCAGTGTAAGATGGTGACCTTTGATCAATAAATCGATATCTACGGGGCTCATTTGGCCCCTGACGGTGTTCTGGTGTTCTAGGAATTGTAGTTTATTGTTGATTAAAAGCCGGCAAAAAAAAAAAAAAATCTCCACCCTCTTTGTGCTTCTGTTCTGAAAGGGAACAAAAACCAGAAAACCAAAAACTTGATAAATAAAAGAGTTGGTAAGAATATTAAAAATGCTACAGAAGAAGAGACCAAATAAAGTGGCCAGAAACGCAGAGTGGGATCTTGGGATTCAAGAGCCCCCCAAGAAGGACCTCAGAACTAAGCAGAAAGTTAAGTCAGGTTATTTTAAACCAAGTCATATTGTTCAGTTATTTTCCTCCTGCAGAGAGAGGACCATATATGGGGACTGTGGTGTTCTTTATAGGATATCTCAAAAACAGGCTAATGTATTATTAATCAGCTTTTCGTTGCTGTGATCAAAATACCTGACCAGAACAACTTAGAGAAAGAAGAGTTTACTTTGGCTCATGGTCTCAGAGTTTCAGTCTCTGGTCGGCCAGTTCCCTTCCTCTGAGCCTGTGATGAGACAGAGCATCGTGGTGGAGGAGAACCGGCTCAGTGCATTGCAAGAGAGCAGCAGAGAGAGGAAGGGGAAGGCAGGGGCTGCAGGAGGATGCACCCTACCCCAGTGACCCACCTCCTCTAGCCACACCCCACCCACTTACACCAATCACCCAGCCATTCAAAGGAGATGGGCGGATGAGGTCGCAGCTCTCCCAATCCAATCATTTCACCTATGCATATTCCGGCATCAACAGGAATCCTACCCAAACAATGACCCTTACTTACAACATCGGAACCATAATCTTGCAGAAAACATGGAAAATGCACACATGTGAAAAACAAAGTTGTTATCATCAGAACAAAGCACAGCCTAGTTGCATCTAAGTTACTCAATTTTTATGTCTCTTCCTTTTATTTCTCTCTCAACAATTATTCATAGACAATGAGCATCATGATGCTGAAGGTTCAAGAAACATTTGGAGAAGGAGTGGTATTCATTCAGTTCACTTCCATACACAAAAAATGTTTTTGGTTTTCTTCTTAGTCTTTGGAGTGACATGATGCCTATTATTTTATTTTAGTAGCAAAATTATTAGTCCAGCTATGGTTTTCAGGACCATACACAAGCATAAATCACCAGTAGTCTACAAAATTTCTTTTAAGAAATACATCTGTATTATGGATATCTTTATTCTTTCTTATTTCATATTTTAATGACTTCAGATTTCTCTCTACCTGGGAGATTTAATTATATAACTACAATGTCCTTTTTTAAAATCCTCCATGTTTTAAACTTCTGCTATAATAAGTGCACACTACCTACATCTTTTAAATTTTAATGATGGAATAATTCTTATCCTTTCCCCCCTTATTGAATGAATTATTTCTTCAAATAAGTCACATGTTTTGGTATATGAATAATGTCAGAATATTGCTAAAGAAATATCCAGTTATTCAATACACCCATAGCATATATCTCAAAACACTGAGTCCATCTCTTTAAAAAAACAAACAAACAAACAAAAAAAAACGATGACCACAGAGTCTTAAGTGTTTTTTCCCCAAAATGTGCCTCCCTGGTTGGGTTTTGACACATCAAATCTCATCAGTCACATTTCCCCAGAGTGAACCAGACAATTGTTGACATAATAGAATATATTTGGGACAAGTTGGCGGAAGGATCTTCCACAGATAAAGATGGGTATCTATTTTTCATAAGCCATTTTAAATGATGGTTGAAGGCGAGCCGCTAGTTTCTTTCTATGGAATATATTTATTTTTAATAGAAAAGATGAGAAAGCACCAATGGCCGAATGTAATCATGGGGGCTTAATTAGCTGCTCAAACTGTTTTATGAAGACAGTCATTTTCATCATCCGGGAGGCAATAAATGATAGAAGTGACATGGTTTCCAGCAAACACACTGGCTTTATAAAGCAGCAAAAAATGATGAAGACACTTCTAAGACAAATGATGTCCCTTGGTGATATACTTAGGTGCACTTGAATTGATATGTTTAAAAGTCTTAAAGATACACTCTGCAGTTTCACCCCTTCAAATGATCGGAGCTTATCTGTTTGCCGGAAGGGAAGTGAATAATGACTCCTAAGGACACCATGAGTTTATGCTTTCCCTTTGGAAATAAGTGCTTATTCAGGTCAATGGAAGAATCTGCATTCCACTAGTTACATACCTCAGGTTCCATAAATAAATGATCTGGTTATGTCTTAGGTAACTCTTATACACATGCAAAATTTTCATGCACAATGAGAACTTCTGATTGACATTTAACCAAGGAAAATGATCCATCAGTGACTTCTATGAAAATATCCACCGCCCCATACACTAAGGTGTCAGCAAGAATTCAAATATAGGTTTTAACTATGCCAAAGTGTAGCACCGACAACATTTTCAATTGCCAAAGTACTCAATCTACCATGGTATCCCATTGGCAAACAGTGCATGGGAACAGAACCCTTAAATAAATTGTGGTGTAGAATTTTTACACATGGTACAAGTTTGACACAGGTAATCGGGTCACGACATGCACATGTATCTCCAACATACTTTGAATGTAAGTAAAATTAATAAATTACCTTTGACCACAAGGCTGCCAGTACTCTTTGCAATGCCAAATTGATTTGTGGCCACACAGGTATATGATCCAGCATCCGACCTGGTAACATTATATATCTTAAGGCTACCGTCTTCCAATAGAAACACTCTATTAAAAAAAAAAACAAAAAACACATGTTATTAGTGGAAGAAAGGCCATTAAATAGCAATAAATCATAACTCCTTACTTTCGCTTTCAAATAGCACTAAAATTATGAATATACATGATGAGTTCATTCCTTTCCCTATTCATTCTTGTTCTTATCGTCCATTTCTAAATCTAAATATTAGAATACATGGCTTAAGTTTTTTATTTTGACAGATCATCGATGATCATTTTTCTGTAATGTGAATTATCATTGTTATTTTAGTGCACATTAAAAATCAAATGACTGTGTGGTATCATAATACCCAGCTAATGGACGAACAAGAAATGTAATTACTATGCATTTTGAAAAGCCAGCTCACTTTTGACAGCTGAACTCGGCTTTGGAAAAAAAGCAGAACGATTTTCACAGTCATTTGCTTAATCTGTGAATTTACGAATCTGCTCTGATTTGGCATTTCTTGCAAGGAAACAATTGGGTTCGGAATTATGGTAATATTTGTTTGGGCTAGAAAGTTGAAGGAATGGTCTATATGATCCCAGGTACCAAAGGCAATACTTATTGTTGTATGTCTCCAAAACCAGCATAGTACAAAGGTTAAGGATCCATGGATCAGATGGAGTTAAATATTCCTAAAACAGAGTACACCAAGGAGAAAGATCTATCAAAGAAGTTCCAATATTTCACAGAATGATCAATCTCTCTTAAGTTTTCTCTGAAACTGAGAAATATTCTAAAACAAACATCAGAGTGATATTGTAATCAGGGAAGGCACTGAGACTCATTTAGCAACAACAACAACAACAAAATCATCACATGTTTTAATAAGAAGAGAGAGAGAGGAAAAAAGGAAAAATAAAAGCATTCACCCAATTTTAGACTTCTATTTTTTTGTGGCTTACAAATTTAGTGAGCAACCTTGTAAACCCAGTTGTAGGAGCCCTAGTGGTAGCCAGGATTCTACCAAAATAAGTGATGACAAACTAATTTTTAATGACTGGTTTCAAAGGAAAGCCAGGCCAGATGATCTGCATGCATGTCATATCCATTAACAATAACAAAACAGCATTTGTTGCATCACAAACATATCATTGTTTCTAATATGTGTAGAACATGAAATGTAGCTAATATAATTAATTACCCAATTTGAAACACAGAGAATATGAGCCAACCACAATTGCTATGAAACCAGCTTCTGATGTTGGGTTTATCATGACTGAAGGATTTCAAATTTTCTCAGTGTACTGAAAAGACCACCTCTGGGTTTTAGAATGTTCCAGGGATGTAATCAGCTTTTAAAATAGTTATTGTGCTAGAGTATTTTCCAGTAGAAGATATTTGATGTCTTATTAAATTTCTGAAATGTCCAGTTTCGTAGGTCCTGGTTTGCATTAAGAATTGAATTATATTATCACTGACAGATAACAAAGGTATTCTAGTATACAGCAGATTTCTGGCCAGATGCAATTCTCCCTTTGATTTAATTACCAGAGGTCAATGTGAGAAATAGTTACATGCATCATTTACCCCCAGTATTTTAAGAATGATGAAGAATTTTTTCAATAGCATGACAGCATTGAATATTGGTCAATAAAAGACTTTACATGATAAAGCAAGTATATCACTGATATCTACATGACATCAAATGGGTTTGCTTTACAGGTAAAAAAAAAAAATGAGTAAGAAGGAACATCCCACAAAGACCAAACTGAATAAAAGCTACTGACATTTTCAGATAAGGCAGAATGCACACGGAAGATTGGGTGAAAGATTTTAATTGATGGGTTTGGTAACATTCATCAAGAAAGATAAGGATTGATTTTTTTTTTCATTCTGTTCTTCTTTTGCAATATATTAAAAAAGATGCTTTATCTGGATTTTGGGTCTTTACCTATCAATGAAAGATAGCAAAATATTCTATCTTTCCTGCAACATTGAAAAGCATTGAAAAGCAACACGAGACCCAGATACAGAAAAGCTGGGCTATCTGTAAAAGATATGAAAGACATTCTCGTAATAAAACCCAGGAATTGCATGAACAATTAGCAACAGAAATAGACTTACAGGAAAGAAAATAGAAGGTGATAATTGCACATCGCAGATACAATGTTTCCATCAGGATTTAATGTTGAGGTCATACTATCAATAAGACCACAGATCACAAAAGTATGTTTGGGAATGTGTGAGGCCCATAGAATCACGGAAAGGACTCCAAATATTCAATAGTGAAGTGAATTGAAATTACTTTTAATTGAAATTTAAATTATATTAACTATATTTGAATTTATTAATGAAGTATATTAAATATAATTAAATTATGTTTAAATTTAAGTTTATTAAATCATGTCGTCATCGTTTTGCTTTCTTTTGTTTGTGGTACTGATCATCTGTGGCACAAGACCTTAGGAAAGTTAGGCAGACTCTCTATCCCTGACCCACATCCCCAGTCCTTCCATAGTAATTTCAATGAATAACTGCAAAGTACAACAATGTTTTTCTTCTTCATTTATTCAGTAAATCTTTGATCAATTCCCCACTATGTTTGTAGCAATATGTCAGGTGGTACAATAGGCCAGGGCAAAATAAAATGTGTTAAATATACAGGGTAGTTTTTTTTTTTTTCCCATGATCTTGTAACTCAGACATTAAAATTTAAGGAGGATATGAGCTATTGTTGGGAACTGCCTCTGTGCAGACCCCTACTCAGTGTGCAATAAATGTACAAACTCCTGGGTACACTCTTGCTCTCGATCCATGTTATACGCCAGGGAACAGGCAGAGAGAGAAGCTCTAAGTGTTTTAAGGTACCCACCTGGCAGTGTAGACCCCAAATCCGAACCACGCTATCACTTTAGCTCACAAAGCATTTATTATAGCAAGAATCCCTTCATGGTAGGTTTCCAAAACATAATTTGCTTATGTTTACTGTGATTAGCATAAACTTGATTTTCTACATATAGTGTGTGTGTGTGTGTGTGTGTGTGTGTGTGTGTGTGCATAATTTCATTTGCATAGAATGCTGTTTAATAGTGAAGGTTCTTCATCTGAACTTCAGAGACGATAATAAGTCCCTGAAATATCATGAAATGTTAGTGTGTGTGCACACATATGCACTTTTCAAGGTTCTTGGCTTTTCTGAGATCTTCCAGGCAATCTTGGTACCTACCGTACTCTCTGCTCTGGGAGAGTTTTAACCCTAGATGCCTTGATGTGTGGTATAGTGATGGTGATGCTATAATATAAGAATTATTTCTCATCTTCTCTCATGCAATTATGGTGTCATTACAGAGTGTGTGGCAAGGTAGGCTTTGGAGTTAAATGACTTGTGACTGAATCTGAGCCCCAGCGTTTAATATCTGTGTGACCCGACCCAAGCTAATGAACGCTCCAAGTTCTGAGTTTTTTTTTTTCCTGTGGGGCATAGTGATACCATATTACCTTTGTCACAGAGTCATGGGGGTTAAGTGATATTAATGGTTTAACATGTTTAAGAATGTCCTTTACTCCCAGTTAGAAGTCAGTAGGCAAGGTTTTAATGAACCAATTTATTTTCCTCACAAGGTAAGCACTTCTTTAAGTCCAAGGGGAATAACAGCAATGGGGGGAAGGAGAAAATGTTTTGTGAGAGTCCAGTTTGCACAAAGGGCTCCAAAGGGTAGATATCAGGCTTAAAAAAAAATGATGGACACATATCATGTGTACGGGTTTTTGAGATGCAGTGTGGGGGTCTGATTCATGTATACTTGGGTAGTGACCATCTCAGGGAATTAGAAGATCCATCTTCTTACATTATGGCCATACTGTTATGGGGAATACATTCATATCCCTCTTCCTTTGCCATTTTGAGACATGGAATGCAATATTTTTAAAATGCATTTTTTTTTAAGTTGTAGATGGACACAATACCTTTATTTTATTTACATTGATGTAGTGCTAAGGATCAAACCAAGTGCCTCACATGTGGTAGGCAAGTATTCTACAACTGAGCTACAACCCCAGCCCACGGAATGCATTGTTTTTAATGATACTCATCTGCTGTATCATACAACACCAGCCCCTTCATTCTCTAATCACACAAGAACATTGACCCTGCTGATCAACCTCTTCCTATTCTCACCAGTCTCTGGTAACTACCATTCAGCTCAATTTCTGTGAAATCAGCTTTTTAAGATTCCATTTAATAAAGGGAGAGGATGCAATATTGTCTTTCTGTGTCTGTCGTATTTCATATAAGAAAATGTGGTCCGGATGCACAGCGGAACACTATAAAGCCACAAACAAGCAGAGAATCCTGCCTGCCCTAGGTGACAACATGGATGGATATAAAGAACTTTGTGCCAGGCTTGTAGAAAGGAGTCTGATGGTAGCAAAACTGTCCCCAGGGCTAAGTTTAACTGCTTACATTCCTCTCCCAATTCAAATCTTTCCGATCCTTGGTGTTTCAATTTTTATTTTGGCAATGATAATATAGTTGTCATGAAAATTAATTAAACGTCAGGCATCAGTCCAATTCTCCTTCTTTGCTGACACTAACATTTGGGATTTTGCTCTCCTTCATGATTTAGGCCACTATCTTGGATTCCTACCTTGGCCATTGCTGACGCCTCTTGTCTTAAACGCTCATAAAACTGAGCCATGTGGTTTTAACTAACCAGTTTTGATCATTTCCCGGACTGCCTTGGTTCTGGTGTTATCGAGTTCTGACACTTGACTTGTGGGGTCTATTTCTTCCACTATAATCATTTCACATTTCAGTAAAATAATACTCTTTCTTTCAAGTCTCTGTTCTCAAATATCCCCTTAATTAGGATATTTCAACTGTTCACATAATTGAACAGAAAAAAAATTTCCCCCAAATTACCAGCGCTTAGTATTCTATTTGGATGATTAAATTACAAATTGTGACATTTGCATTTAAAATGTTCTGCAAAAAAAAAAATTTGTGAATTTAAAGACATTTACATGTGTAGATGTAATATGACTATTCCACTGATAGAAAAAT